CAAAACAAAACTGTTTCCAGGCCAACTATGAAGGTTAACTACGCCCCCAAGAAATAAAGAAGGCATTCGTAAGCAGCTACGAGGATGCAGTAACGCTCTACAACTGGGAGGGGACATGAACAAGGGTCTGGAGTAACTGGGGCACTGTGGAACCGAGGACAGACGGACACTGTCAGGATTAAGGATGATACACAACATCAACAGTAACCCCGATCCCAGGAAGGCAGTGCCGAGAAAAGGCGGGGTCCGCTGGAACCCGTGGGGGCCGCGCTCTCCCAAGAAGAGTGGAGGAAGCGGAGACTGATTCTCTCACCTCTAACGCCGCCTGGGGGTCCTCGTCGATCAGAGAATCTGAAAAGCTCCGGAAAAACCTGCCAGCGAAAACAACGACATGCTCACTAAGGAGAGGGTGAGTGGGAGGGGGAGATAAAAAAATAATTAGCGAAAAGAATAAAAACACGCACGTCTGGGCTGTTGCAGGTTCTGCTGCAGCTGCCGCCATCCCTAATAATCGCTGTTGCTGTTAGAGCTGCTACCACCGAGGTTACGAGCTGCGCCGCCGCCCAAGGGGGAAACTTCTGGAGAAACACAAACTGAGCTTCCGTCCTAAGTAGCCAACGAGCAGCCACGCAGCGTGCGGCGGGGGGAGGGGAAACGAAAAGTGAGCGCAGGGCGGGCTGGGACCGTGGAGGACTGAGTCTCGCGGCCGGCCGCGTCCCGTGACCAACACTCCCAGTCCCCGCCCTTCGCAGCCATGGTTACGGACGCGTGGGCTATTCACGTCTCCGCACTCCAACAGAGCCTTCGGGGGTAGTAGTTCAAAAGCATTTTTGTACCATACTGTTATTCCCCAGGAGCGTGTGACGCTTGGGAAAGTTTTGCACGTCTATTAATAATAAGGCACATCGGGCTCCATTTTCACCACAGCTCACTATAATTCTTATCATGGCTCCCCGAGGCAGCCGAGGCTTTCATGACCTGTGACGTCATTCTGCACTACGTGTCTTTTCCGGGAGCGTAGTTCCGGCCTGTGCGTATTTCCTGTGATTTATGCGCTGGGAATCCTAACGGACAAGGACTTGCCGGAAATCGTCCTGCCCTTGCAGATGCTAGACTGAAGGATGCACTTTGGTTCCGGTTCGCGTGTACTATTCCATTACCCAGGACTCCACAGCCGCAGGCTTTTTTCCTAGTTGGCTTCCCACATTTGCATTTTTAAAAGTATGTTATTGTCTCTGTGCTATGGAAGAATGGTTAAAGGGAAAAGAACAGTTGTTGACCACAACTGCTGTGTTTCAAGCCAAAGTGACCCTCTTACATAGGTCAGTAATTGTAGGGATGGACAGAAAGGTAAGAGAAGAAATATGTGAGGTAAAACTGGCTGGGTTTGCTGATCTTTTAGGATCAGTGTTTTTTGTGTCATATTAATAAGGCTTCACCTACTCCAAGGGCATGAGGCTATTCTGTGTTCTCTTCTAGATGCTTTATTAATTTAGGTTTGACATCCAGGACTATGATTTATCTCGTTAATTTTTGAGGAAGGTATGAGCCTGAGATCAAAGCTCTTTTCCCCCAATATGGATATCTGAGTGACCCAGCCCTACTTACTGAAAATGCTGTCATTTATTATTTCGCCTATTAAATTCTTTTTTTAATGTTTTATTTATATATTTTGAGAGATAGAGAGCACGTGCACACGTGGGGAAGGGGCATAAAGAGAGGGGGGG